GGAACATGCCCGGTTTGTGGGCTCAATCTTCAGTGTGGGGAGTGCAGGAGGCAACCTGATCAATGATTCTCTCTCACCATTGATGTTTCTATCTTTCCCTCTCCCTTCCTCTCTGAAATCAATAAAAATATATTTAGAAATTAAAAATAAATAAATAAAAGCATGCTCTCTTGAAATGTGGTTTCTAGATATAAACAGGATTTTAAAAATGTTTTGGCAACTGTGGAATGTTGAATGGGTTTATCACATCCTTCTTAGCCTAGAAAGGTTTCTCCAGAAGTGACCTACTTAAGTCCTATGAGACTTATGGCAGCCTCTCCACTCTGCTGATATTAGGTCTAGTAATAATTAATGTCGTTTTCTAATACCTTTTTAAAATCGAATTTATTTAAACAATACAACAAAATTTAATCAACAATATAGTTGCCGTTGTTTTCTACTACTTGTGCCCAACGCTTAGGAAGCATTTTAATCCCTCTGTTGTAAAATTCTTGTGATTTTGATGCAAAAAATTCGGTCAATGCATTTTTGAGGCATTCTTCATTATTAAATTTTTTTCCAAGAAGAAAGTTTTGCAAAGAACGAAACAAACAGTAATCGGAAGGGGCAATATCAGGAGAATATGCAGGTTGAGGGAGAACTTCCCATTCCAACTGGCGCAGTTTTTCAGCAGTGATTCTTGCAGTATGTGGTCGTGCATTATCATGGTGAAGAATTACGCCCTTCCGATTAATCAGCGCGGGTTCTTTTTCTCTTAAAGCTTGGGCTAACCTTTCCAATTGGGCACTATACTCTGCACTTGTAATGCTTTGGTTAGATGGTAAAAGTTCATAATGAAGAATTCCTTTAAAATTCCACCAAACACACAACATCACTTTTTTCGCATGCAAGTCAGGTTTTGGCGTGGGCTGTGGAGCCTCATTTTTGTCCAACCATTGAGGCCGCCTTTTCAAATTAACATACAGTACCCATTTTTCATCTCCGGTAACAATTTGCTCTAAAAACGGCAAACAGTTTTGACGAGAGAGGAGCGAACTGCAAATTGTGACTCTTTGATTACGGTTATTGTCGGTCAACTCATGAGGAACCCATTTTCCAAACTTTTGGACTTTGCCAAGTGCACGCAATTGATTGGAAATTGTTTTTTGTGAACAATTTAAAGTTGTCGCAAGCTCTTGTTGGGTAATTTGAGGATTTTGCACCAATAGAGCTTGAAGAGCTTCTTGATCAAAATTGGACACACGGCCTCGACCACTCTTGTCATCTAACGAAAAATTTCCCTCGCGAAATTTCTCAAACCAATGCTGGCATTTTCTGGCGCTAACTGCATCTTGACCAAGAGCACTACAGATGTTTTTTGCAGCCTCACTTGCTTTTCTTCCTAATTGGAACTCGTAAAGCATGCAGTGCCGAATATGCTCTTCATCCGCCATCTTCTTAGCCCTAGTTTTGCAACAAAAAACAAACCAAACACAAACTTTTTCAAGCAAAACTTGTTAATTGCACTTCACACGTTCTGTAGATACCACGTGTTTGAAGGTTATGTCAATACAAGTCAACGCCAAGCAAAATTTTAAACAAATGTTTAAAAACAACATTAATTATTACTAGACCCGATATTTTGAACTCACTATTACCTAAAAGCCTAGGCCAAAATTTTTAATATAAACTATCTTTCCAGTTGGTTTTGTGAACCCAGATACAAAGTTACGTATTTATTGTTTATTCTTATTAAACTTTGTTTTATGAGATTCAGCTATTTGTCCAGTTAGTCAAGTTCATTTGAAGCTCAATGTTGTCACCATCATATTCAGTAAAACCCCAGCTCACTTGCCAAGAAGTCTACCAAACTATTGAAAACAATATCAGGAAGATATTCTATTCCAGTATGGTAAACTCTTGTTTCTAAACCATTCTTGATGAAGTTTAAATCCTTTCCCAGGTAAGGCAAGATCTCAAATAGACGAAGATTTGAAAGCAGACTAACTTTTTATCAATTCACATTCATGATAACTAACAGCACTTTATTTTAAAGTAAGAATATCATGCCTAACAGTAAAAATAATCCAGGAAACACAGTGAATTAAAGCCATTTGCTATGACCAACTTCTACTTTTGGTTATTTATCTGGTCTTTATATGAAAGTGTTAATGATGAAACTCATATCGAATTTACTACAGTTAGATTTCTGTCTTTCCTTTACCTCACTTAAAGTGAAACAGGCTTAAGTAAGGACTATGGAATTTCTATTAAATAAAAGTGAAACCAACACAGATTCTCCATATCAAATAGAATCTTTATATTTAAAGTTTTCAAAATATGTTTGTTTACGGTTCTCATGGAATTTATGCCATTGTTCAATAGACACTATGAAATAATAAAATTAAAATAATATTGTCAGTAAAAATGTAATGATGAGCATAACTTTCCCCAGAAGAACACACACACACATTAGTCATAGAGAAAGAAGTATTTGCATTTAACTTTGAAATGTACAATCACTGAAATGCTTGAGCAGCCACATGTGTAGGAGTGATAGGTCTCGCACATATTTATGAGCTGCCTTAAATCCTTTCTAGAACAAGGAGAAACGTAAATAAAAGACACAGTCACATATTTAATGAGGAGGAAGAGAAAAATCTCAATTGGTATGCAGTCACTGCTCTCAGCAACCATTCTATTTTCGAAATGTTATTTTGAAACGTCTAGGAGCCTCCTTTCTGTGAACATGATGAATATACCGTGTTTCCCTGAAAATAAGACATCCTCCGAAAATAAGACCTACTTACAGGTTTCCTTCTAAGTGAAATATATGGCATCCCCTGAAAATAAGGCCCCCTTAGGCTAAACATGAGAGATTTGGTCCACTGATTCTGAAAGAAATAGAGTCACAAGAAATTCACCAGGAAATTCAGGAATTGGATTGTTATAATGATGTTCCAGAAGATAATGACATGATTGTCATTGAATAAATGAGTAAATTCTTGATACTGTAGGATTCACAGTTTGTCTGGTTTGTGTTGACAACTACTGTACTACCATACCATATACAGGTAATAAATTTCCTTTATTTTAATTTAACAATAAATGTGTACCGTATTCTTCTTCATGGAAAAATAAGACATCCCCTGAAAATAAGACCTAGCGCATCTTTGGGAGCAAAAAATAATTAACACTGTCTTATTTTTGGGGAAACAGGGTAGAAGACATGTTACAATATCCAATTTCATAGATACTCTAGATATTGTTCAGCAAAAATACAGTAACAAAATAGTTTTTTGATGATCTAGTACCATTCAAAATTTAAATAAATGTAATGCCACCTGCCTTCTACAGTGATTCCCAATTGTCTTCAGGGAATATACCTTCTTATGTGACTCTGGGAAGAATTCCATGCTACTGAATCATATTATAATATCTTTTATTTGATTTAGATAAGATTTACATGGAGATAATATAATTTTATCTGTTTTTCCCCCCACTTAAAAATTAAACCAAAAATCCATATATACCATATATGTGATATAAATATACCCTGGTGGTTTTATCAATATTTCATTCTCTCCTCTCTAATCCAAATATTTCCTCATTTTCTCTTTCAATTTTTTTGCAGAAAAAAATAACCAGGTACTGGTAGTTTACTTGAAAGTTGTTTGGAAGTCACTTTATTATATAACTCCTTGAACAGAAAAATCCTTTTACTAGATAGAGATAATGCTTTGCTCAGTTGTTTGTTGTTTTTAATTAAGTGGCATAAATCGTCCCAGTCACAGGATAAACTTATATTCATTAGTAGGGAATTCTGGTTTTAATCCTGTTTGTTCCATGGATGGCAAAGACCACCTTTAAGTCTCAACTTACCATATTTTCCAGTGTATAAGACGACCCCCTAATTTTACAGTTAAGACATAGGTTTAGGCCTATATTCGCTGTATAAGACTACCCCCCACTTCCGAGGCAACACCAGTTTTTTTATACTTGGCGTATAAGACGACCCCGATTTTCAGTTGACTTTTTTTCCTTTCAAAAGTCATCTTATACGCCGGAAAATACGGTAACTCTCTTAGCACCTTTCCTGATGATCCCAGCCTTGCACACTATCCTCCAATGAGGTCCAAGAGCATAGCATAGCCAAATTCAGCAAACTTACAGAATGCCTGGTCAAATTTGATTTTCAGATAAGTAACAAAGAATGTGTTCGTATAAATATATTCCAAATATTGCATAGGATATATTCATATTAACACATTTTTGTTGCTTATCTGAACTTCTAATTGAATTAAGTGTCCTGTATTTCATTTTGCAATCCTAAAACACATTTTCTATGCCACTGTTTCAAAAAAATTTGTGTAGATTTCCCCTCCGTCTCAGATGATCTCCTGTGCCTTGTCCACATGGAACACCCAGCTCAATGGGCTTTTTTCTCCTTCTCCATAAAATCATGGCTGACCTGCTCCACTTCAACCCCAGCAGATCATTTCCTTCTCTGTCCTGAGACTGTTCCTCATCTATACTTGATATAACAGAGAGTCACAAGCTATCTCTCACCATCTGTGTGTGTCTCTGGTTGTGAGGTCTCTGAGACACAAGGTGCTGTACTCTTCATCTGTGTGCCCAGTACTTGAAGATAGAGGATACCACATCAGGCATCTTTCATCAGGTCAGGTTAAGAGCAGAGAAAACTCTATTTGAATCTACCACTCTGCAACTGAGACTGGACCGTATTCTTAGACCCTCGGGGCCTAAAGATCCTCATCTACATTTTTAAATTATTATTATAGAAGTGGCCTTTGTTGTTGGGGTGGCTGGTGGCAAGCATAAATACTGCTGTATTAACTGTGCAGGTAAGGAATAGCCGAGAGGGGTCTCCCGGCTGGTCTCAAACTTTCACTCCAATTAAATGGTGGCAGCATCTCCCCTAAGGAAGATACTATAAGGAAACATAGTCAAGCAACTGGGAATTAGTGAGCTGGAGGCATCACAGGAATCCTCCTCATCAGCCCTCTTCAGGAATCCAAGGTGAGGCTACTGGCCAAGCAGAAGGTCCAGGAAGTGGGAAAATTGGTGAAAAATGCCCTTTCTAATATCCTTTCCTTTAAGGACAAGGCTTTGAGGTTGAAAATCAGTAATTCCCACATCCTGGATGTCACAGCCGAACTGAGTTCTGATGGCAAAGGCCTTAACCTGAAGCTCCTATCACCACTAACATCACCCTGATCCTGCCTCTCATTGGTAAGGTGGTCAACCTGAAAGCTTTCTTGGACCTCCTGACTTGTGTCAAAATTTAAACCAGCCCTTACTGGTTTGGCTCATCAGCCTGTGGACTGAAGGGTCCTGGGCTCGATTCCAGTCAAGTGCATGTACCTTGGTTGCGGGCACATCCCCAGTACAAAGTGTGCAAGAGGCAGCTGATCAATGTTTCTCTCTCATCGATGTGTCAAAATTAAAGCCAATGTCCAGGCTGACATTCCCACAGTGGTCCAGGGAGAGTGCACCAGCGACCCAGCCAACACCTCGCTCACCTTGTTGGGCAGCACAATGTGCTGATCAACAACCTTGCAGACACTTTGACCAGCTTCCTGAGCAAGACTGTGTCCTTCCTGGTACAGAAGCAGATATGCCATCCATCTGCATTTTCATTTCCACGCTGGCTGTGGATTTTATTCAGAACACCATCAATAAACTTTAACAAAGAATCATCTACATTATTTTTTAAGTAAAATGTTCCTGGTCAAGTAATTATTTAAAATTGAACTGAATATGTATATGACCTGTCACTAAGAACAGAGTCACCAAAATAGTTACTTCTAATCCCACTTTCCTTATTGAATTAGGAAAGCCTTTCAGAGTTACAAAGTCTCTCCTTGTCTCTCTTGATTATCTGGAGAGAACTTCAATTTTCAAATTCAGTTTTAAGTTTCATATAATTATGGCCTAATAAACTCAACTTTTAATAAGAAATTTTAGTTGTTTCCCCTAATTCTGATTCAATATCTGCTTCTACATGTCCTTCCTTTGCAATCAACTAGCACTTCCAATCAGACCATAAAGAAAGAAAAACCCTGTTCCCAAAAGCTTACAAAGGAAAAGCTTCTAAAAATTACTCTTGTCTCATCTGTCTGACTCACATTTATCTAAAAATAAAAGGAAAACTAGGAGAAAAAAATAAACGAACAGAGGATAACGTGCAGCCTCATGTCTCTAAGTCAGATAACAAGATAATTTTTCTGCATGCTCTATATTTCACTTTACTTTCCAAATGACCTTTCCACCCTCTAGCCCTATCACTAGAATATAAATCCATTAATGAGGAATCTTTTCTTCCCCTGTCCTTTTTCATATCAATCTCAGCAGGACCCCAGACTGTTCTTTGAGTTCATTCACTTTATGGCCATTAAAAAAGAAAATATAGTCTGCAGACGGCCTGTCTCCAATTGGTTAAGCACAGGATGAAGAAGTAAATTCCTGAGTTTAGAGTTTTCATCTACCACTGATTTTCTATGCAAAACCTAGGGAAGTTTCCAAACCTCTTTTGTTTTTAAATCTGTGAAAACAAGTGTATTATTTTAAAATGTTGCCATTTTTAGCATAAAATAAAAAGCTCTTAAAATATTAGTCCTTATGGTTGATAGTTTTCAAAATATGTTTGCTTGACTTTGGGTCTCATAGGTTTTAATGCCATTGCTTATAGATTCTGCAAAATACTAATGCTAATACTACTACTAATAATAATGTAAATAGTTAGTATAACTTTTCCCAGAAGCTCACACATCTTAATCTAAATTTTAAAACTAAAAGAATCACAGAAAAATATGTATAAAATCTTGTAATAAGTTGAATTATCTTAAGAGATATGGGTGGTTCCAATATATCCAACCACTTACTTATCAAATTAGCCAGTTTATACCATAAACCAAGTTCTGTGACAGGCTTATTATAAGTTTAATTTCCAAATAACAGTGGGACTGTATCAATAAAATGTATAAAATGAATATCTGAGAGTTTAATAACTTAATACCCCTAAATCAATCCTATAATAATTTTATTAATATTAATATTCACTGAATATTCAAGCCTCTACAATAAAACCTATATTTTAGAGCAGCATGGTCTTTTCCTGAAAACTCAAGTAATTGTCATCCTACACTGCACATGTCCAATAATACCTCTCTACAAAGTATAGGTCTCCTCGGTTATCTGAAAGAAGAGGTTCCTATGATACTTTTTGTGAACAAACATGGCAACATAATCTATAATAAGAAAAGATAAATAATGCTTTGGGATCCAAATTCTAAGGGTCACATAAGTATCTTGTTTAATTAAATTTAAGAGAGCTGTTTCTTTAAATCAGTTTATGTATGTAGATTTTAAAAGGAGAAACAATTTATGCAGGTATATAAAACTATGTTTTCCTAGAAGTAGCTCTTACACTGCATCCATGTGTGTAATCTGGAATAATGACTTTTCTAAGAATGTCTCACTGTCATACAGCCTCAGGTACACACATGGAGCTGAGAGGGGAAAAGAATGCAACCAACAGATCAATAAATGTCAGTTTCATTATCTCACATAGGGATGAATTTATTTCAACAAAGGGAGGAAAAGACCTTGAGATAAAATCTTACCATGAGGATCTCCACCTTGAAGATCCTGCAAAGGTAACCTGTGGCATGGAGAGGCCTCTAAAACCAGCTTGAACCACCATCTGTTGGAAGTGCTAGACTGATTTTGCATGCAGGAACCTTAAACATAAAGTATCACACCTAGTCCTGAAAGCATGATCCTAATGAAATTCAGGAAAACAATCTAAAAGAAATAAAATATACTTTTACTACACTGCTTAAAATTTTTGTAACAAGCATGAATTATTTAAAAAAAAAAAACAAAAAAAAACAACACAATAAAAACATTCCTTAAAAGAAAAAATGGAAGAAAGGAAGGAAGGAAGGGAAGGGAAGGCGGGAAGAGGGGAGGGAGGGGGGAGGGAGGGAGGGAGGGAAGGGAAGGGAAGGAAGGAAAGTAAGGAATCAGGAAGGAAGGAAAGGAAGAAAGGAAGGAAGGAAGGAAAGAAGGGAGGGAGGGGAGGGGGAGGGAGGAAGGAAGGAAGGTAAAAAAAGGGAGGGTAGGGAGAGGGAGGGAGGGAGGAAGGAAGGAAAGGAAGGAATACGGAAGACAGTAAAGAAAAGTAGGAAGGGAAAGAAGGAGGGACTTTGGAAGGTCGTTCTTAGGTACGAGTTCTTTTCGTCGTTGAGGTAGTTCTGGATCGGGCTTTCACGAGTTGCTTAGGTGGCGTTGATTTATCTCTGTATCGGAGCCAAACCACACGCCAACTTACGTCAACCTCCTTTGCCCTTTTAGAATTTGTGCTCATAGGAGGCTGTGGATTATAGGATAGGGAACAGACCCAAGTGCCTTTAACCATTTGGCTCTTTAAAGCACTTTGTGATTTCTGGACCCACACACTTGATCTCAGAAACTGTAGCCATAAAGGTTATAGTAAATTAGCTTCAACTTCCCTGGTTCCTCAAGAACACACTTTTCAGGCGTCTTCAAACTACGGCCCGCGGGCCACATGCGGCCCGCAGAGGAGTCTGATCCGGCCCGCCAGGTTTTTGGGGCAGTGAGCGCAGCAGAGGTGTTACAGTAGGAATTAGTAGTTCATATAGTCCGGCCCTCCAGCTCTCTGAGGGACCGTGATCTGGCCCCCACTTTAAAAAGTTTGAAGACGCCTGCTTAGGTGCTGCACAGAGAGCACTGGGAAGGAAAAAGAACTTCCTTCAACTTCAGGGAAATAGCCGAGAGAATCCTCAAAGCTTTCTGTGCTGATGGGAAATAATCATTCTTGACCTCTTTCCTCTCCCTCCAGAGGCTATGGCCCTTTGAGCACAACTAAAGAAATTGAACCGTTTCTCTCATATTTCCAGGTCAAGGGAGCAAGGCTATAGTTGTTCTGTTATTATTGAAGCACAAAACATAATGTTTGGCATTTAAAGATCCAAAGAAACAGAAGATAGGATTCCCACTGGAGCAAGAAGAAATACATAATGCAAAAAGCAGATAACTTTACAAATGCAAAAATTAGCTGCCAAACAAAAGATTTTACAAGGTTATTGCTAGAGGCAAGTATATAGACGATGAGCACTCTCTTAACAAATGTAATGTATTTAATAGGCACTGCTTTAAAAAAAAATGGTTTTATCAACAATTATTAAATGCACACGTGCACACACACATCCACAAACACAATCACCAGTTTGTTAGAATAAAAGTTTTAAAAATAATCAGAAATTATATAAATATACAAAGTTGAATAATTATAGAGCGAGCAGAGATTACTACCCCTAGGGCAATGGAAGCTAAAGAGAAAATAAACAAATGGGACTACATCAAAATAAAAAGTTTTTTTACAGCAAAAGAAACCAACAACAAAACAACAAGAAAGCCCACTGTGTGGGAGAACATATTTGCAAATAATACCACTGATAAAGGTTTAATCTCCAACATCTACAAACAGCTTATACAACTAAATAAAAGGAAGATGAATAATCCAATTAAAAAATGGGCAATGGACCTAAATAGAACATTTTCAAAAGAAGACAGAAGGAAGGCCAAAAGGCACATGAAAACATGCTCAGAGTCACTAATTGTCCGAGAGATGCAAATCAAAACAACAATGCGGTACCATCTCACACCTGTCAGAATGGCCAACATCAACAAATCAATAAATGACAAGTGTTGGCGAAGTTGCGGAGAAAAAGGAACCCTCATGCACTGCTGGTGGGAATGCAGACTGGTGCAACCACTGTGGAGAACAGTGTGGAGTTTCCTCAAAAAACTGAAAATGGAACTCCCATTTGACCCAGTAATCCCACTTCTAGGAATATATCCCAAGAAACTAGAAACACCAATCAGAAAGGATATTTGCACCCCTATGTTCATAGCAGCACAATCTACAATAGCCAGAATATGGAAACAGCCTAGGTGCCCGTCAGCAGATGATTGGATCCAAAAACTATGGTACATCTACACAATGGAGTACTATGCTGCTATAAAAAAAAGAAGGAATTCTCATCATTTGCAGCAACCTGGATGGAATTGGAGAACATCATGCTGAGTGAAATAAGCCAATCAATGAAAGAGAAACACCACATGACCTCACTCATTTGTGGATATTAAAGAACATTATAAACTGATGAACCAAAAGTTAGATATAGAGACAGTATATCAACAAGCAGACTGTCAAATTACAGCAGGGAAGGGAGGAAGATCTGGGGGAGATAATAGATCAACTGAAGGACTTTTATACGTGCATATAAGTACAACCAATGGACATAAAACTCTGGGGAGGGAGGGGGCGTGTGGGAAGGAGAGAGGGAGGCAAAAAAAAAATCAATAAAATATATTTTAAAACAAACAAACAAACAAAAAAAAACTAGATGACATTTACTGAGCATTTTCACTGCTCCAGGTACTATGCTAAGTGTTCTAAAAGCATTTGCTCAATTAATTCTTGCAACAAATTAATAAGATAAGGACTTTTACCTTTTTATATTTGAAGAAACCAAAACTTAGAAAGGTTTGGTTTGTATGATATGTCACAACTAACTCCATGTTACTAAACCTTTGGTGATAGAGAATTGTGATCAACATTATATACACAAACTACACTAGTCTGTTTGTAGCACAAAACATAGTGTTTGGCATTTAAAGATCAGCTTCA